GTCATATTCATATTTGGGACTACATGTCAGGGCTGTGTGGCCATCTCTCTATCAAATGGCAATTTAATGCGCTATCCTAGCGTCAACCAAGTTCGGTTGAACACGAGCACCTGCGGACCTAAACTAGGTTTCCCCCAATGTCGCATTCGTTAGTGAATTAATCTGGGCCAGTGGAATTTCGACATCTTATTTTACATAACTTTTGATTTGATTTAGTACATTCACTCAGCACTGCTTCATTTTTTTTTACAAAATAAAGAACTTTCACTCTCATTTTAGACAAAATATTGAATGTAGAAAAGTGCCTGATAGCTTACCGATACTCCACCCTCAACGATAAGCTCCAGATATACTGCATGCTAACTATATACTAGTAGTTATCTCGAGATCGTCACCGATATAAAGAACGCTAGTGATAACAATGCACAACACAACATGTTTAAACCGTTTGCACATTCGCAAACACCTGGCTAATCCATTCCCACCTTTATCACCCAGAACCTAATCAGAAAGCTTAAAATTTAAATCAGTAGATTTATGCTGTAACTATCGAGAAGATTACAACTACATTATAAAAATTGTTGTAGTTATTTGTACCAGCATTCTGTGGAATCGTCTTATACTAATTTAACATGTGGATATCAATACATCTCAAGTCTTTTGGCCAGTCTTGATTTATTCAATAATAATAATAGTTTAAAGTTTACTCGACTAAGTCGAGATAACAAACCTGGGTGAACCTGGTATCTGCCTCTATTAATCTGATTTGGCTAATTACCAGCCAACTTCCAGAAGGTTATGACCCCCAATCCTAGGACAGAATGCTAGAGCATGGACGTACTAGAGATTCCATGTCCAGGTGTTCTCCCCCGCTCCCCTCTATGCGTGCGCGTGGCCATTTTCAGATATGGTTATGTGCAATTCTAAACCTTGATCACTGGTACGGTCAAGATTCAACAAACTTACTGATTCTAACACAGTGACTATAGATATAAATTGACGCTTTACAATCAAAAACCTTGCACAGGTCAAGTAAGTATTTTCTTCACTAAGAAATATGTATTTATTCGATAGTTTATAGAACACAGGGATTCACCGTTGTTGGGTGATTTTTTTCTAAAGCCAAAATACCGGTTATTTAAAATGCTTCTATATAGTTTTTCAAATAATTTGAGATTGCTATTCCTCTGTAATTTGAAGCTGGATTTAGATCTTTACTTATGATTTGGGACTACGAGGGGGTGATCAATAAGTTCTCGGCCTTCCTCATAAAACGTTACATAAAACGTTTTTCCTACACGATTTTTCAACAGAGTCCCCTCTAAGTTCACTTTGTCCATCGATGTTCCAGTTTTTCTATTCCCTGCTGAAAGAAGGTTTCATCTTGACCCTTTAGATAGGCCTCAGCAGCTTGGATGACGTCATCATCAGTCTCAAAACAGTGACTACGCAAGTGGGGCTTCAGTTTAGTAAACAGGTAGAAGCCGGACGGTGCCAGGTCAGGTGAGTAGGAAGTGTGAGGTTGCTACTGCCACTGTCACCTGTGCATTGTCCTTGAGCAACAGCACACCAGCTCAAAGCTTTCCTTTCCTTTTCTTCTTGATTGCTGCTCTTAACTGTCGCAGTTCTGAAGCATTGATTGTTTGACCCTTTTGCAAGTAATCAATCATGATGACTCTTTTACTGTTCCAAAACACAGATGCCACCACTACCTTGCCGACTGATGTCACTGGCTTGAACTTCAAAGTGGTGAACCAGTGTCTCATCTTGGGTCACAAATCTTTTGAGGAAGTTGCCAGGATTTGACAGTAAATGGTCCAAAAGCGTCCTTGAAACTTCCAACCTGTTCAACTTCTGATGTGGAGTCAACATTCGGGGCACCCATCATGTAGACAGCTTGCTCATACCCAAGATGTTCGACAAAACATTTTGAACTGCACCATAACTAATGTCCAGTCACAGTCCCTCTATAGAGGGACTGTGGTCCAGTCAATGTCTGATATGTCGGATAGTGACACATCTGTCATTCATTACCATGCAATGGATGGCCTCAACCTGATTGTCCGTGGTGGCATATTTTGCCCCGCTTAAAGAGAGGAGGCAAGGGGGGTAGCTGGTACAGTTTTACGGGAAATAAAAAGGGCTTTTTGCAATTTACAAGGAAAAAAAATACGTTTTTACAGTTTACAGTGTTAAAAAATGGAATATTGAATGATCTGAAGAGCTCTCCGACTCAAATTCTCCGCCATTACTGCGCCGTGTGTGTGCGTGTGCTCTTCATTCGGTTAGAGGGCCTTTTACGTCTTGACATTCAATTTTGTAGTGAATTGTGTTATGTAGTCGTTTTACAGATTTAAAAATGTAATTTCCCTGGATTATTCTTTACGATTTTTTTATTTGCATGTAAATTCTTGTACGTATCGAGAAAAATTACACATTTTTACAGTGTACGAAAAAAATATTTGATTGATTACCTGTACGTCTAGCCTGTGATTACAGAATTACGGAATTTATTTTTTCAATTTACGTTGTACGAACAAAAAAATATTGCAATTACGTTGAACGAAAATAACCCTTGCCCCCCTCTCCTTAAAGTTAGCAACCCATTTTTTTTACAGTGAGTAAGAAGGGGAAGTCCTCACCAAGTGTCGTGACCATGTCTTCGTGGATTTCTTTGGAAGTCGTCCCCTTTTTATAGAGATATTTGATCACAGCACAGCCTCTGTCTGGTCCATTTTGTGATTTTCGTCTCACCTGCTGATTTTAAATGGGCACCGCGTTCTAATTAATGAATACATAAATTTGCATTTCTAAAGTTTTTTTGTTTTTTTTAGATTTTTTCAAACATAGGTGTAATTTTTAATTTAAAAAAAATGTTCCCCACTCGCCGCGAAATCACCCCGTCGGGGATTTCTTTCGCGGTCACGCTAGTTTTCGGGATCAAACTAATAAGGCCAATTAATTAATTATTTTTTGTTAAACAAAAAAGAAGTCTAGGACATTTTCAAACGACGTCATTGCGCTCTGCGTTTCTTGATTGGTCAGAATCACAACTGCCATTGGAATTTATAAATACTAGTACATGTATTTATGAAAATGGAGAAAGTGGGTTTGTTGTGTCAACTGTATAAATTTATCATTCTATTTCAATTATATGTGCAAGAAATTATCATGGGTCTATTTGTAGTCATTTGGTCACATTTAGAAGATGAAAACAAGTATGGAAATAATAGTCCCGCTACCTTAAACTAGATGCCATGTACACTGTATGGTCACGGGACGACTAATAATCTACGAAATGGCTGGACTCCAGGTTAGAATGAAGTCGTTCGGAGTTCACCGTGTTTATGATGCGCACTTATTTCACTGACATGTGACGTGCTAGGACTGGGCGACAACAACCTCTGATTACAAGTTTCTGTGGTGACATCTGTATTATGACGTACTTGTAGTTTATTAGAAACCGGGATTAGAAATGATTACTTGACAGTAATATCACAGGGAGCCCAGGAACTATAATCAACTGTAGTACGCAGTGTTTATGAGCGGGGGGGGGGGGGTTATCGGCTGGTATCTAGTGTAAGAAATAGACAAGGGATGAAGGCTCCAGCCAGCTCACATTTTTTAAACTCGAAAAAACAGACGAAAAGAATGAAAAATAAAATCTAAAAAAAATACCAGGTTAATCACTAAAGTTGGATTAAATTTTCAAAAAAATAAGCTTTCAAAAACAATTTAGATGTCTAAATAATTTAAAGAGAGGCGGCGGAAAGAAATTGTGCATGGGGGTGGGGGTGGGGGTGGGGGGTGTTAGTCTGCTCACCAACCTTGTGCCGAATGCGCGACCGGGGGTCACTGGCCTTCCAGTTTGGGTCAGATTGGTGGGGGTGTGCGGCTGGGAAGTGCCGACCCCAAACCCAACGTGCACCATAGACCATTTTCAACTCAAAAACCATACCCCATTATAGACCAAATAGTGATTTTGTATATCCATTAGAATCCAAATTTTCACTAAATTTATTCATTTATACTAGGTTTTATCTACATCACCCGGACTCACTAATAAAAGTACTAAAATGTACTCGGGTAAATACATGGATATTAAAAATCAGAGCCCATCCTGGACAGGCCATCCTAATATCCTCGGGGGCGGACATCCGGGCATTTTCTACCGCCTGGCAACCCTCGCGGTGAAAACAAAGATCAAAAACTCGCAGAAAACGGTACTTTGCTATGGTTGTAGAGAGTCCCCTGAACAGTGTAACAAGATTAGCCCTACGTGTGTAACATATATGAATTTGGTTGTTCAGGATTACTTCAAAGTTGAGTTTGTGTTGTTTTCTCGAATTTTCACTGGCTCCACCGGCGTTCCACTGCACAGTAGCGCACACAGAAATACGTGGTACAGTGATGCGCGTCTTAGCAACGTAGAACGTCTGTGACGTAGCTCCGCCCCCGAGGATTGGACCTAAAGGCAAGCAAATCTATGCCCCATTCTAGACCAAACAGCTAAAATTTACGACCCCAAAGGGCGGTACGTCCCCATAATGTGTTTTACATTAAGTGCCCCCCGACCTTGCGAAATTTTGAAATATAGACCCTCTGAAGAGCTATTTCCTGTATTTTGAGGGGCAGATTTTGCTGGCACAAAGGGGTTCAGCTTGGTTTTTTGATGGGCGACGCCCCCCAACATTTTTTTCGAAATTTCTGCCACCGCTCTCCCTCCCACCCCACCCCTGATTATTTTTCTTTGGCATATTTTAAATTATGCTATTATTTGTATAAATTGTAACACAATCCCCGATAAAAAACACGATCACTAAAAGACATGTGATCTGCAGACAATAACGGTACAGTTACCGTGCATGTCATTTCGCCGAGTCGGAGTCCCTCTATTGCTGTGTTTTCGCGGGAAACTGGTTAAGTCAAAGTCTGCTCTAATTGGACGATTGGATCACATGACGACGCTCATTACAGCGTGCTCTTGGTCACATCCGGTTGGGAAGGTTTTTGCCGCGAAGTTTTTGTATACAGTCACCTGGTTTATCCTTAGTTTTGACAACTGATTTGACAGCAATGGCGACCCAGACAAGACGACAGACAACTCGCACAGAGTATACATCTTCAAAGTCAAGTGGTGGACGCTCACATACGTCTCCATTGAGCCCGACGAGGATATCTCGTTTGCAGGAAAAAAATGATATGATCGATCTCAATGACCGACTTGCTGCATACATCGAAAGAGTGCGGCAGCTTGAAACTGAGAACAGTCGTCTCACTACAAAAGTCACGAAGATCGAGGAGACACAGTCGAGGGAAGTAACCAACTTGAAGTCTTTGTACGAGTCTGAATTGTCTGAAACCAGGCGTTTATTAGACAGCACTTCGAAAGAGAAGGCTCGTTTGCAAATTGAGCACGATAAATGGAAAACGCAAGCACTGGAACTGCAATCCAGGTTAGTAATTTGGTAGATCTATTATAACCTTTATCTTTAATTTCAATTTTATTTAATTTTGCGAGCTTTCCTGATTAAATAGGGAATGTATTGTGCATAAGGGCTGGGTCTGTTGCATCTGCGTCGAAAACCCACGCTACATTATGCTGTTGGCTGCCATTTTGGACTTGTCAACTTCCGGGAAACTAGAGGTCATAGGGGTGGGAGGCTATTTAGATGGTATATCAGTATGTTCAACATTCGATATGAACAGCTGTTGTGATGTAATACAACAGTGTTACAAAAGCTGTAATTTATCTATGTATTTATAGAAATTAATTTTCTTTTGTTTCTCATAAACATCAGTGCTCCATCTGTTTGTGCATTTGTTGCCCCTCCCATTGTAATGGAATGGTAATGACCCCAGTAGGACTAAAATACCAAGCATAATTTACCAATGGGTGAATGCACTGTGTGTGGAGAGAAGGCCTTCAATGAATGGCTTGTCTAATGATTTATTTTGTACAATTAACATGGCCATCACTGTTCTATTGTTAGAAGTCAGTTTAAAAAAAACAAATCTTGCAGGTCGTGCCAATGTCAACTTTTACTGTTTAACTTTAACCAGTGTTTTACAGTATATAAAAAGTCTATCTTCAACTTGTATGAACACATGTAGTTTATAATATAGTAATTCATGAACAGTAATTTTGGCTCCTTGAGTTCCTTTTGTACCCCACCCCTAACCTTCTAAATTAACTCAACAGTACCGTACTCGACCGCGTTAGCGCCCAGGGGCCTCAACTCAGAAAATCACTATTTTTTAGGGGTGGGCGCTTACCCGAGCACCCCCCTCGAAAAAGAGTGCAAATGAGGGAAATCAAATTACGAAATTAGTTGAGTCGTCATTAATTTTCACAATGAAGGAACAGAAATGATCACAGAAAATATGCACTCTTTATTACAATATTAATTACGTACCACCAGAATTTACGAAATTAAAAAAATTTGAGTCTGTTGGAACACAGTCGAAGTCAAAATTGTCATATTATCTCCACTGACGAAGGTGTTGCATGTTGGATCGTACGCAAACTCTCGATGAAAATCACTTTCCGCCATGATGCATTTGCAGATTTCACCTGCAGCGGCGTCCTTTGACCTAATGGGTCAAGTTGGTTATTAACCAATCACAATGCTGTGTTGTACTGACGCAATCCTTCGGAAATTCTCGAAGACTATCCGGTAACGCAATGCGGAAGTGAATTATCGATGTCGAAGTACGATCTGTTGGAATTGATTTCAGCGAATAAACAACATAGTTTTTCCAAAAAACTAGTAACTAGCCATTTTTGAGAGGTAAAGTGAATATGGCATGAAATATTTACCGCATTTTACTTGTATTAACAGGTCATTGTCGAAGCGTAGGTTACGCACGGTTACCGTGTTCTACGCATTCTCAACATGTTTACAGCGATCGATATCCACGCTGTATCATATAAAAACGATTACCAAGATTCGTTACGCAAGACCAAGTTTTAAATTAGTTGCATTTTGAAGGAGTAGGCGCTTTGCCGAATGTGACCCCAAATATAAAAATTGCGCAAAAGTGGGGGGTGGGCGCTTGCCCGGGCATGAGCGCTAACGCGGTCGAGTATGGTATATGCCAACAGTGGATAACTATAGGTGTCCTTAGGAAGGGCATATCCAATTAAATTGTAGAATGCTGTGTTAGGAGTGGTGTACAAAAAAAATCTCTTTCCATATTTTTTTGTAGTATTGACAGTTGTAAGATGTTGCCATGCCTATGATTTAATCATTTTTAGCCATTCAACCTTAAAAAACTTCGCTAATATTATATTACATTCTATTGGCTTCTATTGTGGCTGTCTATCGCACACATTCGATCAGGTCCAAAAAAACTGAGCACTGTGATTGTGTAATGGTAACACAAGTAAGAGACTACGGTCGACTGTAATACTTGTAATACTGTAATAATTGTTTATTTTGGAAGGAAAGACTGGCATCAAAGTACAATTAGAGCAATCCACACTAAATATGCACTAAAACACCCTTTATATAGGGTTAAATAGGATTACACTGCAGATTTTAAAATTGGAGGAAAAACGCTATGATTGGTGTGCCATGTGAGAAGGTCACTATAGAATAAACATTTCAGCTTAATCTGCTACAAAGTTGCGACTTCTCTTGCGTTCGCTGTGATAAAGGCATGTTTGTGAACATTACGTAAATGGCTTACAATAAATTGATTTGTGCTTCATAGGAATACATGTATTGTGAGGTGAAATGAAGCAAATAATGCTTGGAATCAGAGAATAATGCTTGGAATCGAATGAAATGAAAACAAATACAGAAAATGATTGTCTATCGATACAAACTAAATACGAATGAAAAATAATAACTATAATTAAACAACAAATATAATTGAATCGAGAAACACACGTGGATAAGCATCCACGATATTTATAGCAAGACTTCAATTGGCATGGGGTAGGGTAGCCCCTCTTTTAGTAAATAGGCAATAGATGGAGCTGCATTTATGCTGGATAACAATGGTGCTCCTTGATGTAGTTAAATAACATGACACAGCCTGTGTTTAGTTGTTGGGTTTCAAAGTGAAAGCAAGGCCACTGTGTACATTGCTTATGACAACTAAGCTCAAAGTTCAGCATTTTTTTTTTAAAGGGAACAATCAACATGTGACCTCATTGTTTTCTATACATCTGGTGTGCAAGCTTATTGAAAATAATTCCAAATAAAATATATTTGCCAAAATACTGTAAAATAGAAAAAAAGTTAACAGAAAACGAAACATTTTGGGACCAGAAATAAATCTTTTTTTTTTTTTTTGGCTAATAAAGCATTGGAATTCTTAATTGAAATTTGTCTTTCCAAGGAAATGGTAAATACAAGGCTATTTAATATTAACGACATAGGTAGGAGGAAAGGAAGGGTGATGTATAAAATTAGTAGGTAGTCTTGGCTTTCTCGTATTCTGTGACCTTTTTTTGTTTTGTTGTTGCAGAGGTCATACAGTAGCTATTAAATAAGTCTTAAAAATAAAAACAGTAGTTTTACGAGTCTAAAATAACAACTATGACAACATAAGCCATAGATTTATAGGTATAGGCAAGTACAATAGCATTTTAATTATTTGTACAATTGAGGCAGAACTACTTGAAGTAACAGGGGTGGGTAAACAAGTTAAAAATTGATCTGTAATTCAGACTCAAGAATTTACTATTAGCATGTTACTGTATTGACCTAAACATCATCTGAAATTTTTTGATATACTGTAAAATGACTAATTTTCACTGGGGTTAAATTTCGCTTATTTACCATTTCAGGCATATTCAGTGGGTTTACTATAGTGTACTATAGCGAATACTATAGTGTATACTCTGTACTGATGTTTGCGTAAGTGTTTACAGTCTTCCAATTTTGCTATTGTTGTTTTTGAAAACTCCATTTATTATTAATTTGCGCAAAAGAAATTGCCAGGAATGTTTGTAAGATTGTAGCTTCTTCTGTTTTAGTTTTCTACAAAATAACTACAAAAAATCAGTAGTTTGGACTTACTGTAATTAACAAAATAAAAAATAGGTAAAAAAAATTGAGGCACAGATTCTTTGTACATTGTGTTGGAAAACTGCTCAGGTAATTCCTTAGATAAACAATGATTTGACATGTATGCACTGCAGTATTTACAGTATCTAAAATTTCAGATAATGTATAGATTATGGTGAGAAACTACAACAGATCATTTTTTAATTTGTTTATTTTCCCAAATGTAGGTAAGATAATCAATGTTACGACAAACTGACTGCACCATTACATGACAAATCTGTGCGGTTGATTTGTCAGCTTCATAACAAAGCCTCATTGCCTTCAGCTAAAGGGCGTGTCCCTGCCCTCTGAAGGAATGAAAGGAATGTTGTTATCGATTGGGAGGTGCAGATTACTGAAGTAACCTCATTTTGGTCAGTAGGTCAGAAGGTTACATTACCATTGTGTCAATGATGAAGTGTTGCCTTTCTGATGCTATAGTGTACATTAATGTAAAGTCATTGAGTAGTACATTCATGGTCAATTGCCTCAGTTACAAACACCGGTCGTTTTTCTTTACAACCGCTCCACGTATTCCACATGCCTGGTCACTATGTTACAATTTGTTAAATAAAGAAAACCGAAGGTCTTTAACTCATCGCCTGCCGACGCTGTTTTTTCCTATTCATTTTGACAATCCATGGAGGCTTTCGGCAGGCAAATGTTAACTCGTAGACCCGATGGCCAATGCTTAACTTAATAATAGAGTTGGCTGAAATAGACATACACAGTTATTTGTATTATATATACAAGTTTGTGCTTTTATTTTCCTGTACCAAACTGTGGTACTACACTGCTGTATTAGTTCTATTCTAGTAGCATATTTTCTTACATAAAAAATGTGTGAAGAAAATACAAGTCATATTTTTACGATTCAGCGTTTGTGTTTTTTTATCCGATGTGCTTCTAATAAAGCAAATATGGTATATTGTGCATGGTTGCTTGGTATCGTTACTGTAGAAAGAAATAGAACAGGTTGATTAATTTAAATGGTTTGCTAGAATACCAACTTTTATAATTTCAGTAGTAATGAATTCTCGTCATAGTTATAAACTGGGGCAAAATTTCCACTGCACTTTCCTTCAGCCGATTGGGACAAAAATAGTTGCCACAAAAATTAGGGTTAATTCCTAGAAATATTGAAGAATATAAGAAAAAGGTCCAGACAAATTTAGGCGAGAAAGTCTGGTGGGGGGGGGGGGGGGTTTCTTGGTAAAATGTGAGCGCATTTACGTGCGAGAAATTAAAATTTTAACTCGTCATCTGCTGAGGACATTATATAATATTCATATTTGTTGAAGCTGTCAACAGCCGAAGTGTTTAAATTAATGATAATGGAAAGAACAAAAGAGAAAACATTTTGTTTAATTGGGATTATAAAAATATATTTAAATATTTTAGGTATAAATTCTATAGGGATATATTGTAGACCGTTCTTTCTCCGGTAAATGCAGGTTAATTTGCATAACAATGCCACCTTAATTGCATATGTATTTTTATTACAATAAAAAAATAAAATTCTATATAAACCATGGATGTAAAATAGTTGACTTTCTAATAATCAGCTTTATTGGTAAAATAGTGGCAGTGTTGAATTTTGTTCCCCATTATATACTTACTCAGTATAGTGAATGCCGCTAACACAAACTAAAACAATGTTATTTTCCATTGTTTACAAAACAGTGGTGGTGTTTTGAGAAAAGTGACGTTCAAAAGGCATCTTTTTATTTTTGCGTAGATTTGGCAAATTAGAAAAAGACCTTGCCAGTGCTGAGAAGCGTTTACTTAATCTTGAAGCCCAACTGTCCGATAAAGACGCCAAACTTAAGACTGCTCTGAACGAAAGACAACATTTTGAAGATGAGTACAATCGTCTCAAACGGGACTATGCGAACAAAGAGAAACAGTTGGATGTTTCAAAAAAGCAGCTTGAAGAAGAGACGGTTCTTCGTGTGGATTTGGAAAATAGATGCCAGAGTTTGAAAGAAGAATTGGCCTTTAAAGAATCAATATACAAACAGGTAAGACTTGACTTGATTTCCATGCCAGCATTTTTTTGTTCGTAACTGGTATACTTCTTGCAATGGTACTTATTATTTATATACATGGTATAGACTGGAGAAACTTGGTGGTTTGTACTAGCCCATATTTCGGGCCGGTAATTAACAGATTTTTTTGTAACTCCAGTCATAGTCATTTTAGTTATCATTTGTCAACAACTTTGGCATGTGCCTGTTTGGAGAGAGATCACAGCAGTTGTGTTCACGTTAGTCAGAATCACATCGGGACCCACTTGGCTCATGACGAAATCATGACCTTATTCATTGATCTGTTATTTGGCCAATACATGGAAAATTATATGCATATGGTGATAATAATAATTTCTACATTGTAATTGTATCCATTTGTTTACACACAAGTTTCTAACGTGAACGCCACTTATGATCAAGTTTACTGGTTTCTTGCTGCAATTCTCTCCAGGTGCCCGATGAGTGCCCTGGATTGAGTCCTAAGCAAGACGAGTGTTCACCTCAGGTTTTTCAAGTGTAATGCAACTTAGGCCACAAGCTGCATTGTTTCGCTTCCACTCGCGTTGCTTCAAACTGTTCGTGATGCTTTGATTCAGGCAAGTGAGTGGTAGCAAAAACTTTGCAAATATAATTTGGGTTAGTAATGTTGATAGAGCACATATGTGAATAAATAAATAAATATATGACAATGATACATTATGTTGCTAAGGAAACAGAGGGATCTTCATAAGTCAACACCAAGTGCATTACAAGGCTGTCACAGAAAACAAACAATATTGTGATTTTTCCCGCAAGTCTGACCCATTAACTTTAAATAAAATTCAGAAATGAAGTATTGATAACTACTGGACTGAGCCAACTGGCGTGATGTAAAAAATATTTTACATGGGAGAAATTCATGGAATGACACAGCAGTAAATTCAAGTTAAAAGCTATTTTATGATCAGCATCTTACATCTTAAAAATATTGCACATGAAACAAAACAGCTAAGAATGTGATTAATAACTTTACTAACTCTATAACAGTGGAGTGTATATATTGCTTGTGGAAGTGTAAGTAACTGACTATTGATGAGAAATGATTAAATGACACGCAGAAAGGTTTACCGTTAAAAGCATACTTTCTGTCGCCATTCATCAAATAACTAACTAATGTAGTGGTAACTACATTTGTGTGTTTTCTATAGGGAATTATTAAATTAATACAATTACATTAATTATAAATTATGAAAAACCTGACAATGTACATGCAATAATAGTCCCAAGGTCTAATGAAAATAACATGCTCATCATCATGTAAATTTTATGCTATTAGTATGCAAATTAGCCAAATACTTGGTGAAACATTAGTTTAGTAGTGTTTATCATAATCTTTACAGTTCATTCCCAGAGTTGATTTTAATCCCTATCATGTGCATAGTGTCAGTAATTATTAATAATATTTTAACAGGAAGTCGAGGAAGTGAGAACTCAAAAGGAGATCAGTATCACTGAAGTCGATAACCGTGCAAGAGAAGACTACGAGAGTCGTCTGCAGATCAGTCTGCAGGAGTTGAGGGAAGAGTATGAAGACCACACCAAGTTCATGAAACAGGAATCCGAATCTATGTTTCATTCTAAGGTATTGTAATAAATGATATTATTGGATGATAGTTAACCTTTGATCTTGTCTTGTTACCGATTTTCAAACTTTGATGACACAGACTGCTGCATTGCCAAGTATTGTACATGTCTGGCTTTGCACTCACTCGACCACCAGTTGAAAACCTAAAATTTTTGGATTAAAATTTCAGCGTGATGTCAAACTCGATACTCATCACAATAATAATACAATGTATGTGACTTCTGTGCTTTCATCGGTCTGATTGTTGGAGGGTAATGTAACCTGATTTGACCTATAATTGATATACAAGTCATGACCTTTGACCTTTGTTAACGAAGTGTGTTCATTGAAAAGAAGTAGGGCGCAATAATACTGCATGATTGAAGCCGTACTTTGTACACATGATGTAAAATGGTGATTATCTTTTCGAGTTGGAGACATGTTCAGGGCTGTCGTCAATCATGGTAATTGATATTATTCGTTATTTTCCAGATCGCAGAAATGAAACTTCTCCTTGAAAAGCAGAGTGGTGAAGCTGCTACCGCTAAAGATGAAATGAGAATGGGTCGCACAAAGTTAGACGGTCTGCAGTCGCAAGTTAATACATTGAAGGCACAGGTAGGTTTCGCAAAGCGTGAACACATTGATGGCCACATAAAATCAACGTCATATGCTCTTGATGATGCGATGATTCTGTGTGGGGCATGGGCATCCGTTGTAGTTTGTGTCCAATAAAAGTACACTTTGTATGTGGTATAATAAAAACACGTACTTATACATGTAGGTGTGACTACATTATTTTCTATTCCCGACAGAACAATGCATTATCAGATCGTGTGAAAGACTTAGAGAAGCAATTAGCAGATGAACAAGAGGCATCAGCTAATGCGTTAAAAGAGAGAGATGCAGAACTACAAAACATGAGAGATTCTATGGCGATTCAACTAAGAGAGTATGAAGAACTCATGGGTATAAAGATTGCGCTTGATATGGAGATAGCAGCTTATAGAAAACTACTGGAAGGGGAGGAATTCAGGTAGGTGTTAATTAATGATGAGCCAACTCCTTGTCTGCATAATGACACCAATCTTATTAACCTTTCAATTTAAGTCAAGTTATCGCAATTATTAATTTACACCAAATTTTGTCCTGGTGTGCTAAAAAAACTACCTTTTTTAATTTTGCACATTGTACATTTTCACGAGCCGTTTTGCAAAAGCTAAGGCACAACTTAGTCTAAATTTGTTTGAGGTGTTCTGTAATTTTTTTCCCGACTAATTTTAGTTTTGGCTTGATCGAAACGACTGTGTGTGAAATGTTGCAATATTATCTCAAAAACCAATTATTGCATTTCAATAAGACTTGATATACCTGGGTACAATGCTAAAGACCTGATAAGTTTTGGATTGAAATTAAAGCTTACTTAAATTGAATAATGTGCATAATAATCACATAGATACTCTGGAGATAATCCACGGACATGATTAGTTTAATGTTAAAAAACATAAATAATGATTATCTAATTAGTATTTGCCCATTTCTGGTATCTCAAAAATCAGATTTAAATTGAACTTGAAGGTGCTCAGATTAAATCAGATTTAAACCACAAATGTACAATCAAATTTTTTTTGGTAAGTATTATTATCATAAGTATTGAGGATCACATTTTATGTTGTACATCTCAAATAGCAGTCCAAATATTAGTTGCCAAGCTTCTATTTTGAAAGGCTAATCTTAAATTTTGAATTTATTTTCATTACGCCTCAAATACTCGCGCAGTTTTCTTTGATTACTTTAAAATCCTTGCTGAATTGTCACTGTTATGCATTTTGTTATCCCTTGTACACTAAGCTGTGCATTCACATGGATTACACTTGTATGCAAACCATTCCTCTTTCACACAGGTTGAACATGAGTCCTTCGCCTCGTCAAACCAAAAAAACTAGAGAATCCTCGCAGCTTCGTAGTACACCCATGCGTCAAGTACGTGGCACGAAGCGACGTCGCATTGATGAAAGTTCAAGCATATCACAGACTGCTACAGCAACTGGTGGAGTGGCGATCACAGAGACTGACACAGAAGGCAAATTTATCAAGTTACAGAATACAACAGAAAAGGTAACGGTGGAATGCTTGACATTTAATCTATTTCAGTTTTGGTTCTATGCATGTTAATGCATAATGTACGTTTTTTTTAAGCATCTTATTTGGCAATCAAAAATGTATATAGTACTGCTGCTTGAATTTGTTACCTTCTTAATCTTTCAAATTAAGTTTTTATATATGTTTCGTGGAAATCAAATCAATAAGACTCCCTAGTTTATCTCGCAATTAGGAAGTTTGCATCATGCAAGCAAGTAACCTTTAGTTGCTTTACAATTTACCTCTAGGACCAAGCCATGGGCAGCTGGCAGCTGAAAGTTAAGGCAGATGACAACGAGGAAGTCACTTTCAAGTTTACAAACCGTTTTGTGCTGAAGGCTGGTGCTACAGTAACTGTGTGGTGTCAGGAAGCTGGACAAGGTCACAACCCACCTAGCGACTTGTTGTGGAAGAATCAGAAAAACTTTGGCACTGGTGAAAAAGTCCAAACCGTATTGGTTGATAGCAGCGGCGAGGTAGGAATATTAATGTTGTTTTAAAAGTTGACTGCGTATTGACTAGTGATATGGACATTAATTTGAACTTTGATCATTGACCTTTGATGTTCACCTTGCCTTACAATATTAAACTCAATTTAGTCTGTTCGCGGAGTTGACTTCAAATTGTCCTTTCAGTCACTGGTTAACCCTGAGTTCGCCATGTACAGTGTTGTAAGAATACTCAAAGGAATGTCTCTGCCGTAGTATGTGTGGTAAACAGTTCGTTTGTTTTGATAAAACATAATCTTAATAGAAAAAGTTGATGTTATTAATCACCACTGATTAATTTATAACTGAATTTGTTTTTTTGTCTTACAGGCCATGGCTACTCGTACTCTGTCTCGTCGTGTCACATACTTGGAATACTCGGAGGGCAGCAGATTAAGTGAGGTGGGCAGTGAAGAGCTCTTTCACCAACAGGTGGTTAGATAGTCAGGGTTGCAAATTATGCTGACATGAATAAACATAAATAAATACATGTTTTTATGATAAAAGTAAATTTAAAATATTCATTTTTATTTTGGTTTTCTAAAATATAGTATGAGTAACCCTTTGAACACCACACCTTTAACTGTGGATATTTTGGTCCAGCATTTTGAATGTTTTATGTATTTTCTAAAATTTCTGTGGACCAGATGGTCATGATTCCTGATTGGCTCACACTGTTTACTTCGTGAAACGCGGTGACAAAAGTTGACTTTGGAGTTCAAAGGGTTAATATCTTTTATGATTTCTGTCAGATAATCTGTTCACTCATAATGCCACTGACGTTGATGTTTTTGTACTAAAAAGGGGGAAAATTACAGTATTGAAATGTTGCTTAACATGTGATAGTGTTTGATTTCACTTGTGACAGTGTTGATTTCACATGTGACAGTGTTCGTTTCACATGCGACAGTGTTGATTTCATTTGTGACTGTGTTGATTGATCACGTGTGATTGAAGGCTGTTTTCACTTTAGGCTAATAAGTTCCTCTATCCTATGTTTAAACTTGGTTTCATAAATACGAGAAACATCATCTTCCAGATTAGGCATCAAATTAGAATCCAGACATGTAGAAGTAGATAAAGTTGGAATAAAGTTGATTGGGCAGTTGGGTTGGTAGTATGAACATTTTGATCAACATTTTTGCACAATTTTGTGGGTTTTTTTCTGCAATATTTAGCATAATTTCTCATCGGCTACGGGTCCTGATAAAAAATAGGGACAAATCATTCTTGTGTAAATTGTAAAAATGACAAAAGTCAAAAATGTTTTAGCATTATTGACAGTGCCCTTTTTCGCATGTGAAATCAACACTTATAAATATTCAAAAATGTAGCAAGCAGAGAACTCAGACTGGTCTCTAAGCGCATCTTTTAATATCAACTTTTCAGGCAAACAAAGTTGATATTATTATTTGTTAAATTGATTTACTGAGTATGTTTCTTTCTTGCCTGTTCACAGTCGGATTCACATGGTTCTGGGGACAGCAATTAACGTCAACCTCTAGTAGGTTATCGTCCCGTTAAATATTTGCTCTGCTTTGCTTTTATCTGTGCTGCTTTGAGAACTTTATAATTAAAACCGAATTAATCGTTAAATGATATTTTACCCCTAGAATTACGATTAAAACCTAATATCTTTATTCTGTAAAAAGATGACCTGGCATTTATTAGTAATGATTGATTTGATTGGCTTTTTACATATGGGGGAGAAATGTCCATGGAACACTATTTCGTCTAAATAGTCACTTTAGTTCACTATTGGCTTGCAAAATATCAATTTAGAAACCATTTGAATCCCTGCATTGGCTGTAGTATGACGCACATGTCGAATTTATTAATTTTGGTGCATGAAAAATGATGCTGATTTCCATGTTTAACGCAACATTTTGTTGATGCACAGAAAATGGAGAATGTATTTCGGATCTTTAACTCAGCATAGTGCATCTGGCGCCAGTACGTATCCAGACGATATTGCAACCAAAGCTGGATAGAGAACCGATCACATTTTCCACAATTAATCTGCCTGCATGACAAAGTGTCTGCTAGGTGTTATCACTTGGTATGACTGCATGACAATTCAGTGTCTGCTTGTTGTCTTCTTGTATGGCTACCTGTTCAGATACACAGGTTGTTGGTAAAACCTGACATACCATCCTATTTGCCTGTGTATTGTGTCTCATATTGAATTCATGAGTAAGCTGTACTATGTTGCCTGATTACTAAGACTGCTGCTATTCACTTTTATCGTGCCGCGGCCGTTGCTGACTATTTGCATCCCAAGCCTCATTTTCACATTAACTAAACGTATTGATGTCATTGCAGTGGGCTTGAATCGAGGCATGGAAAGCATTGGTCCGTAGAAGTCGCGGCATGATAAAAGCAAATTAGATTACCATATTTGCTTTATGAGTGGCACATCCTTTTGAGGTGTCTATGATCATAATAAGTCATATTTTAATGATCTAGCATACAATGAATGTTATTTTTTGGTTGATGTGCGCTTCTATTAATAGAGAAAAACGGTATTTTGAGCCTGACAATTCTCAAACAAATGCCAAATTAAACATATAAAAATGGTCATTTCCTGACTTGCCAATTAAAGTGCTTTATGGTTTACGCTAATCAATATTTTGATCATCTTTGCACTCCAAATCAATGTTCTGTCTCCATGGTACCTGGTTTAATAGTGCATCTCTAAAAATTAAAATAAACAGGCATTTCTAATATAGGAAATGTGGTGATTATATAACTTATGTAGTAAAGTAGTTACTGATTTTTGTAGCAGTCATCATTTTTCTGAGGTCCAATGACAGTGTCAGTGACTTTACAAGGTTTTGTCTTCTCATGTTTTAAAAAAAAATTGTGAAAATTTCTAGCAATTCAACTGTTTACAAATTCTTATCCTAGTAGTTGCCTATTTTGATTAAATTGCTGTTCATTGAAATTAAACCTCGCTTTGTTTTTTCCCTTTTCAGGGTGACCCACAACAGAAGACTGGATGTGTTGTCATGTAAGCCGTTGCCATGGAATTTAATGGACTTTAGTCATGTCCATATTATAATCATTCAGCATGATTTAGATGGATTTTATACAGATCAGCACAAGTTAGCTTTTATTTTTATTATAATTATTATTTTTATATAATTGTAATACATTCAATTGTTCTATATTCTGATATCGTCGTTGCGTATAGAGGAAAGTCTTGTATAGATGATGCCAAGCATGTGGTCAAACTATTTGTGATGTACACGTCTAAGGAATTCCGATCATACCGCTCAACTACCAGTAAACCATGGAGGCTGTGTTTTTGACCATTTGAATAGGAATCGTCTTTAATTCATCCTTGACGACTGAGCGTTTTTATGTGGTAAGACGAACAAGCCCACAAAACTTGAGAACCCTTCCACTGCTTTTACTGGGCGTGTTTGTGAAGCAATTAATTGTGGTGTATCCAAACTCAAATTTGATGTATTGTTTCACATTTTAGGATTCCTACTCAATATTCCAATTTATTGTCTCATTTTTAATAATTTTCTGTTAAATTTCATTATGAATTATATAGAAATAAATGGTGATAGATAGCGTTGAATAGTTTCAGGTAGGGTATAAAGTAACTGTCGTAGCATGTTGACGTTTTTTTTATCAACTTTGTCTTCTCGCTTCAGTACAATTATTGTCAGTTTCAGTATATTTGTACAGCTGAGTTGAGTGTACATGAAATACAGATTTTAAACGTTTTCTAGTGACCCCTTTTTTCAGGTCATGCTTTTCAAGTCAACATACTAGTTTATCTTTGGCCGTTTATGAACCGTCACACCTCAATTTGACAGACATTATTTTTATGGTGCTATTAATATTGATTTGTGTGTCCTGCTATTATTGATCCAAACTATAGGTAATCCATTAAGATTTCAATAAAGGTTTAGTTCACAATTAAAGGGACACCTTCCAGTTAAGCCTAATCTCACAACAAATTTACTTTCTGGGTTAAAGTCACAATGGATAACAAAAGATAGATTAACATTGTAAATAACATAAACAATAGTGTCCCATGATTCTTTGGTGCAATCCATGGGATTGAGCGGTTCCCCTTTAAGTTCACTCGTACACTGTAATGAGCAATGTCTGAATTGTTAAAGATACTGCTT